AGGGGCAGAGATAAAGTCCTGGCAAGTGGCTGAGCGATGGCCTGGGAATGATAATAAAAGTGTGGCTGGTCCCAGAAGTAAAGTGGAAATGTAAACACGTATGTGCCACATGCCGCATGCCGCATGCCGCATGTGTGTGACGAGGCACAATTGACTCGAGTTGACTTGCCAACAATGGCCTGGCTTTTGAGGCTCAAGTTAATTGTGTTTGGCCCTTGGATGCCTGGGCGCTGCACAGGGTTAATCGCTCGCACAGGACGTAACAGGAGTGTGGCATGTAGCATGTAGCATGCTCGAATTGCCACAAAGATAGTGCACGAGACCATTGTGTGACTGACATGTTAATTAAAATTACTCATACGACATGTCTGCCTGCCCTGCCAATTGTATCTAAACACTCGGCCGCTAGCGCGGCAACATGCTGCCGGGCACGGCACCCAACAAGTGTCTTAGCAGCATGTGGCCAGCTGCTATGTTGCTGGCGCTGGGATGCCAGCAATGTTGCCGCGCTCTTCGCAGGTTTTTCTTCGCTTTCCTTTTTCCCCGTCTGATCTGCCGGAATTTTCTGGCCCACTGCCACCCCAGCTGTGAGACGACAGCGAAATCAATCCTCTACTATACTATGTATGCACTCGAATAGTTTTTCTTTTTCTCTGTCTGTGGCTTTCACTTCCGCAGCGGACGACTCATTGAGTGTTTGTTAATTTTATAAATAATTACATGCAATTAGAAATGATTTTTCTGCGGTGCCGCCTTCTCCTCCTCCACCACCACCATCTTCTCTCATCCGGCTGCCTGCTGGTGGCATTTATAGAGATTGCTCTCAGTCTGGCCTAATATCCTGCGGCAATATCAATTAACTTGGATGCCAAATGCTTGAAGGCCAAATACAAACACGGGCTGCCTCCAAAATTGGTTTTCAAGTGCCCTGCCAGCCACCTGTGCAGACATTTTTCCCTGAATGGCATCGCTCATAAATTGTATGTTAATTACCCGAGGACATGCTCAGGGGACACAAACACAAGCACAAACACAGGGCAACTGTGTATTTGTGTATTTAAGGTTGTCAGAACCTGGTTACGACCTAAGGAATGGAAGGGGCGAAACCCAGAAATCGGGTAACCAAACCGAGGCATTTCAGAAAAGAAGATAAGAAGATAAGAAGAACGCACGCTTGGGCTGGACGAAAAGCACTAAAGGCAACGAGAGAGGCGACTTACGTCATGCTCCCTTTATGCGACGCTCATTGAAAATCTGCATTCTTCTTTCCTCGCCCTGCACATGCCCAACACAGGTGCACGCACTGCCCTCTCCCTCACACCCACTGTACTCATGCACAAAAGTTCGCTCTCCTATTTTGAAGTGGGGAGAGTAAAAGAATATAACCAAATGTCAAATGAGAGAGCTAATCGGGCGCCGATCACATCGAACGCAGTAACAGTGGGTGAGAGAGAGCGACTAAGCCACCGCATGGTAAGGTGTTTCAAGGTGTTCCGCTCGGTTCTCTTTCGGATCTGAGCTTTGCGAAAAGAGATCACGTTGCGTGGGTGGACCACCTTGCAAAAGTTTTATCATCTCCCGCTCTCATTATTTCACCCGGTCAAAGCGCGCGTTTGTAGGTCAGCTCCGCGCTTCAATGGTGAAAACTCCGACGGGAAAAAGGTTGCGTCAGTGTGAAAAGTGAAGTTTGGTGTAGTGATGCGTGATTAAATACAAAAAAGGGTGTTTTATTGCGGCGGGGGCGTAGCAAGAGGCAAAATGGCAACAAAAAGGCAGCTCGACGAAGGAAAACAGCATCAATATATATGCAAGTGCCTTATTTGATATATGTACATATATGTATGCAGATAAACATATTCATTTTTTTTCATGTGTTATTGTTCCGTTGTCTCCCTTTTTTCGTTTTGCTTTCGCCAAAAGCCGCAACCGAGCGAGTGGGAGCGAAAGCAGTTGGGAAGCAGGAGATCAAAGAACGAACGCTTTTGCACCGCTCTCCCACTCTCCCACTCTCATTTTTTCACCCGGTCCAAGCGCGCGCGTTTCTGGGCTTGCTCCGCGTTTTAATCCGTGAAAATCGGGAAAATGCTGCCAAATCCGACGGGAAAATTGCCGCGCAGCTGTGTAGTGTTACGGAGGTAGTGATTAAAAATGAAAAATGTGCGAAAATTTTGTTTTAGTGCAAGAAAAAGTGGCTGTTCAAGTGCGACGGTGGAAGTGAAAGTGAAGTGTAAATGGTGTTTTTTTTTGTAATTATTTTTTTTCGTTCGGTCACGTGATCTCTGCAAATGTGTGGGTGAAAAAAAGGCGAAAAAGGCGGGAGGGTCTGCCCCTCTCCCGCTGCAACTCGAGCGCGTGCCGTCGGCGCTCTCTCGTGCTCTCGTATGGGACTCTCTCCCGTTCTGGCGATCTCCAGTCCTTTGATTGAAAAAGCGCTTGAAGCCGGCGAATGGGAGAATAAGCGGCCGTGAAGAGAGCAAACGACAAAATGTGCCCAAAGGTAAGAGCGATAATAAAGTGTTTGGTTGCTGTTTTTCTTTACTCTTTACCCACTTGCTATCTCTCTCTCATTTACGTCTCTCTTGGTGAAGATGTTGTGCTCTCCCTTCCCGTTGAAATCGTTAGGGTCTCCGGCAGCTTTAATATTAACATAACTTACGGGCCCTCCTCGGGGGCCCACCCGCTCGTAATTATGGGCAGAATATTTAACACGAGTGGAGCGTGCCATATGCGAGTGTGGCATACATATATCTCATCTTCCCTGCTGGCCCCTGTTCAGGCCATTAATTTGTCAAGTGTCATAATTGGGTCGCAGCTTGTAATAGACCAAACTGATTTCCATATTAATTGGTCATTAGGCCAGGTACGGTACGGAAGTGGCCAGCTCCTTGCTGGAAAGTGCATTAACATGCGGCCACACATCGCCATACGCATCGCCATACGCATCGCAGTGTGTGGGCCTCCCCCCAAGTGGGGAGGGGGGTGGGCGGCGGGGGACTGTTAACAGCCTTGTGGTTGCGGTCACACCCCAATGATGTTGCTGCTGCTTTGGCAACCGCAAGGAGGAGGAGTCGAAGGGGAGTCGAAGAGCAGCACAAGTGCTAAAATCGTTTCTCATTTCGGGCCAAAGGCACGGCGAAAATTTGCCCATAAATCAGTGGATAGCCGGGGAGGAGGGGAGCGTCAAAAGTTTGTCTGCGGCCTGCGGGAGGGGGGGATTTTAACGAGGCCTAATGGAAAAACGTGCTGGCTAATGAGGCGTACACGCAGCAGCCGAAGGTGGACCGTGGACCGTGGACTCGTCGCGGTCCGAGCATAAAATTAAATATTAATATTCAATTAGAAGAATAATTATTGATTTCCCCCTCGCTCCACGCTCCGCGCTCCCCGTTCCTTCTTTGTTCATCGCTTGCCCCTGCCCCAGAAAATGCAAAATAGGAAAGGATTGACGCAGACGGCTGGGTGGCTCCATTGTCCCTTGGTTGGAGCCTCATCTGCAAGCGATGCACGTTACGACTTTTTTATTGCAGCCACATGTCGCCTGTTCTCGTCAGGGGCAAGCACAGGGGGGAGGGGGGGCAGCAGGAGCAGCAAGGACTCGACACGACATGGCACGCAGATGGACAGACAGTCGGAGTCACATTTTGGAATTATTTAATGAGCTGTCCGCCTCTCCGTCTCCGTCTCCGTCTCCGCACTGTACGCCATATTAAGTCCTGGCGACCGAACACATTTATCAACCACCCACCCAGAGTCCCTCAGTCACACATGCCGCATGCCGCATGCCGCACAGTCCATACGCAGCTACCACATTTTGTATGCGGCATCAGTTTAATATGTTTTTAATTGTCCGCCACTGCCAAGGAGAATCTACTCGACTTTAATGACCTCCATCGGAGGGGGAGTGGGAGTGGGTGGGGGAGGGGGAGTGGGGGCGGGAGGATGTCTCCTATTTAATTTTTTAATGCCTCCCATTAAGGCCAAAGGCGGTCTCGTATATCAACTGCAATCTTCATGGGAGCCACCTTAAAGCAAGTTAATTAATTTTTACAGCAACGAGCAAACGGGAGTCCCGAGGCACAAACAGAGGCAGGGGCAGGGGCAGGGGCAGGGGCATGGACCGGGACTGGGGCAGAGAAAATTTGGCTATAAATCAACTGATAATGTCAGCACATTTAGCGACAGGAACGACTTCCCCCACGGCAATATTTTGATAAACTTTCGCCTTGTTTTCAGATGGGGTTTCCTTCCCGGATTGATGTGTGCGGCGAGTGCGGCGTGTGCGGGGGCACAAATCAAAAGCCAACAACTTTTCCACTGAAGCCACGGACGATAGTTCCTTCGGTTCGCTGCAGAAGGGTCGGAGGGCCACTTGGAGGCACTTTTCTGGGTCAGGATGCGGAAAAGCTTTAATCAGCAACACGACCAGCCTAATGCATGGCGTTTCCTTTCCCTGCCCTGCCCCTGTCCCTGCCCCTGACCCTTCCACGTGGCCAAGTGGTGTGACAATGGAAGGTCAAAGTTTACTTATGCCGAAAAGGGCTTCGGGGTCTCCACTCAAAAAGGGTCGCGATGTCATTTCTGTAAGCAGTTTTGGTACCCGGTACTAGAAGGGGTACATATGTGGGGGGGCATGTGGCTGCCAGATCAATATTATAGCCAGAATGAAGAAATCGATTCTCTCTCCATTCCTTGTGAGAGATGGAAGAAATGAGCGACGGTTGTAGCGGAAATATGGAAACTGTACCTTAAAATTCGTATCATTGAATGAAAAGGGGACCACAACTATCGCTCGTGGTTCCCCCTCTATGCTTTGTCCTCCCCCTCTCTCAAGAAAGCCACCCGGTAATACAAGTAGAGCCGCGGCCCTTGCCGCTACCGCCCCCGCAAGAAGATTTCCCCTCCTTGGGGGTAGAAATGCGCCTCTTAAATACTTAAAGAATTGCTTTCTTTGTTTTTTTGGTTGAATATTGAATTGGCTTTCCCTCGGGCCGAGCTTTTCCTTCGATTTGCTAGTTGCGGCGTCATTTATTCCCCCCCTTCCGGCCACAAAGGGCCTTCCGTGGGGCTGGGCCGAACATACAACGTACATATTTTCAGTCTATAATCTATAAATTGCAGAGCTTGGAATAGGGACACACAAGGCATGCCAGCGATGCAATACATTGCAGAGGCATCAGCATAAATCTCATTCTGTTTACGGCCATATGTCCGGACGGAGAAGCCTTTTATTTGCCCTCCTTGCTGCCGCTGGAGCTGCCGCTGCCGCTGTCGCTCTCCTTGATGACGGCACATATTTTGTCGAATGCCGATTCCAGGCTGTCAATAAACACCTTGCCGTCGGCCTGGTTCCTGTACGTGGTGACAATAGCTCCGGCGAAATCATTCTGTATGGAATAGCTGCGGCAGAGAAGCGAGAACAGATGAAATGAGGCCCCCGGACACCCCAGATAGCGACAGGACGTAGGCTTACCCAATGCCAAAGCCATTCCGCACGACCGGGCCAAAGGAGCCCGCCAGCAGGGCATCCGAGCCGAGGGTGGAGGTGCTGATGATGTTGTTGTTGAGGCGCCGATAGGCCTCCGTCTCGTAGAGGGCGGGCACGGGCAGGCCCTCCCGCTGGGCGGTGTTCCGCAGGGCGAAGAGGTGCCGGTCGAAGCCCTGGCCCATGGCCGCCTCCTTGGTGAGCTGCCCGTGGACCCGGCTGCACTGGTCGATCATGGCCCGCAGCTCGCCGGCGGGCGGCCTGCTCCGCGCCGGCTGGAGCAGGGCCTCGCAGAAGCTCCGCGTGGCCGTGGTGCAGGGCCGCATCGTCTCGGTACGCCCGTGGCGGAAGGCCGAAGTGCTGCAGGACTCGTAGCTGCCGACGTAGCCGGCGAAGGCCTGGCGGTGGGCCAGCTGGAAGGACAGCTGGATGATGGAGTCGGGGCTCAGGCCGTACTGCTTGCAGGCGGGCTTGTTCAGGTGCGGGTACCGCAGCAGGTGCATGTCCAGGCCGTCCACAATGGCGGCGTTCTTGGCGTAGGCCTCCGCCACGGCCGACCTGGTCGCCTCGTCGATCTCAAAGTCGAGGGGCCGCACGTTGCCCAGGTCCCCCTCCGCGGGCGTGTGCACGCTCTCCGTGGAGACGAACGGCTGCCGCAGGGTGTCCCTGCAGAGCTCGTTGAAGTAGCGCAGAACGGCCACGCCGTCGCCCCAGGAGTGCTCGAAGTTGATGGCCGTGGTGCCGTCCGCGCTGATCAGCAGCGAAATGGACTTGTCGAACCACCTTGAACGAGAGGGTACACCGATTACTCCGATCTGCCCCATCAGAGGGCCTTCTGCCTCTTTGCTCACCGATTCTGCGCCTTTCCCGCCAGTAGATGCTTCAGCAGCGGCTCCTGGTGGCTGTCGTCGTACACGCCGTCCTCCTCGGAGTCCAGGCACACGCAGAAGAGGGCGGCGTCCACCTCGCTCTGCAGCAGATCGGCGTTCCGCGGGTTGCTCACAAACCTGGCCCTGTTCTGGGCCCACTCGTCGCGCTGCGAGGCGGTGAGGACGCCCAGCGGGACGGCGGCTGCCTCCCGCTCCGAGTCCAGCCGCAGCACGGCCCTCAGCCGGCCCAGAATCACGCTGGGGCTCTCGATGTAGCCGCTGGAGTCGAGCACGTTCACCGCGTACATGTGGCCGCGCCGCATCACCAGGACGTGCTTGGAGTCCGGCGCCTGGACGAGCTCGTCCCGGCCCAGGCGGGGGATCCGCGCGGTGCCGAACAGCCGGCTGTACTGGCTCATGTCCAGGGGGAAGGCCTTGAAGGCGTACGAGGCGTAGGTGGCGAGGGCCTTGGGGGCCACCTTCATCCAGCGCCGGTAGCCGGCCGTGTCGCTCTTCTTGGCGTCCATGTGGTAGACCTCCGGCTCGAGCAGGTCGGCCTGCAGCGACCGCCAGAAGCGCAGCGAGCTGATGATCAGGTTGGTGGCCCGCACCACCTGCTGCTGGTACTCCGGCCGCGGGTCGCTCTTCATCACCAGCAGCGGATTGTAGTTGAGCGGCAGGGGCACGCGGTCGGCCAGGTACATGTCGAACCACGGCTGCGATATGTAGCTGGTGTGCTTGTTGGCGGCGTCGCTGGCCTGCAGCCGGGCGTGCAGCTCCATGCCGGCGCCCTGCCGGAACTCCTCGACCGCCCGCCGCGTGCCCCCCTGCTCCTCGGGCGTCAGCAGCGGCTCGACGGCCGCCAGGAAGCGCTGGCAGGTCTGATCCAGCCGCGGGATCGGCAGGCGGGGCAGCGAGCGCTGGAAGTAGAGGGTCGGCAGCTTCGAGCACTGCAGGTACTGGTAGTGCTGGCCGTGCGTCGTCGTCGTGCGCGACGAGTTCGTCGAGAGGAAGGAGAGGCTCCTGTTGACCTTTGCCCTGAACATCTTTCTTCCCTTTTGTGCCACTTGTTCAAAGTCCAAAGCGGAGCAGCCACAAGCCAGCGAGAAGAAAAACACACACAAACAGCTGCTCGGCGATCACAGCTGATCAGCTGATCGCTGCATATCGATAGTTGTGTACCGATAGCAGGCGATGTTTAGGCGCGCGAGCACGAGAATTTGAATTTCAATTTCATTCCAGTCTTTTTTTTGGTGGAAATTTTAGGGTCTTGCAGGGAAATGGAAAACTCTTGAAACCCTCCACGCCACGCCCATAACAATCAGCCATCGATTTGTGGAAGGTGGTAGGTCCCCCCTCCCCTCCCCCCACAAGTGCTTAAGCGTGCCTTCACCTTTGGGGGGAAGACACGACGGCGACTCTGACCCTTGGATAGACAGGGTCCTGTGGCAAGACGTTTATTTGCTCTCCTCGTCTGGCCGGGCGGGAGGGGAGGGGCCGGAGAGGGAAAGCGAAACCCGGAGAATCGGTGGATATGAAAATGGGAATAAAATTTTGATGCTTTGTCGTTTGCCAATCGATTTCCCAGTGCTCGCGTCTCCCCAGCCACCCCTCCCCCCCAAATAACGCCTGAATTAAGGCAAGTGTCCTGGGAAAAGGGAAACGTTGGCGGGGGGGTGGTGGCTCCGGATGTGGATGCGGCTGCAGTGTAATTGGGCAAAGGGAAATTGCGTTAATATTTAACCAGCGAGCGCTCGAAAGTGCAAAAGTGAAGCGCATTAAAAGCGGAGCACGGATCCGGCAGTGCCAAGTGCGAAATTATGCGAAAACGGACGGAACCCTTTCCCGCAGAATTATTAAGGATACGAATGAAAGCGTGGGCCCTGAAATGTTAAATGTTGGCCAAAAGGTCGCGCCGCGGGTGGCCCATGAATGTGTCTGACCGCGTATCATCCGCACCCGCCTCCCCCTCCGCACCCGCACCCGCACGGGATGAAATCGGTTTTCCATTAATGTCAGATTGAATTGATTGTTTTAATGCCGCAAATTCCGTAATGAAATTACATTTTTATTCAAGAATTATTGACATAAGAAAAATCGAGTAAAATCAGACACTTTTTAAGCCTAATTAAAACTGTACTTGCAGGACTTTTACTTTGTATAAAATGCAAATAATAATGCATTTATTAATTTTTAATTTTTTTCTGAACGCGCTCTTTAATGAGGGCCATTCAAGGGCCCCGCCCAGGGGGGGGCGCTCGTGGGGGAGGGCCAGAAATAAATGAACTCCAAAGCTCATTAACAGTCGAGGGGCGGGCGAGAAGGAATGCGGCTAGAAAAAAGCCCTTAAAAAATACGCTTTTTGTATTGCGAAAAATCAACAGTCCCGGGCACGCACACGGGGGAAGCCAGGGGGGGGGGGGAAGGACACCAGAAGGTATTCGAGAGAAAGAGGCAACAGGGAAATGGCCACCAGTTTTCCATTTCCCGGCGACATTTGCATTTTTGCCATTCAAGAAAATCATGGACATCGCCAGGACAATAGCTTGGGGCGGGGGGCTCACCCACACCCCCCACCCCCCCACTTGTCGATGCATATGTGGCTCTCTCACTCTCTCCCTCTCGACCTGCCACTCGAGCACTTTTGGCCGAGTAAATAATGCTTCTAATTGCAGCCAAATTTGTGGGACTTTGAACCTGCCACGGGACACAATTTGAGCATTAATTTATGGCCAGCGGCAGACGATGACCAGCAGCACACAATTAATATATGCTGCAGGGCCAGAGCAGGGCCAGAGCAGGGCTCCAGGGAGCAGGGAGCCGAGAGCAGGGTTCAATGTCACTGGCAATCCCTGGCTGCAGGCCACCGAGAGTTTATTGATACTCCGGCCATGCAGGAGGGCGCCGAAGGCCCAGTATTTGCCGTCTGAGGAGCTCTACAAAGGCCACAAAGGGATTCGGCATTCAAGGGCATCCGCAGCCCGGTATACCCCGCCGTATATCCCGTACATGGTGGTCCCCTTTAATGAGTATGTAAATGAACGCAAAGTTTTGTACCATTTCCTAATGTTATTGCTGCCATTTTTTGATAATGATTTTCCTAGAAGGCCAGACAAATTGCTCGTTTCTGGGGCTGTGATGGGGGGCTAGGACGGGGGCTGCGACTGGGGCTGATTGTCTGAGCAAAAGCGAAATCATTTCTCACAAGAGCAGCAGCCAGAACACAACCATTAGGGCAGAAACAACAGCCCAAGCCCATGCCCAAGCCCAGGCCCGGGCCCACATTAAATTGTTATAAAGCCATCCTTGAGAGGCCCCAAAGGAAGCGCCGCCGCCGCCGCCGCCGCCGCCGACGAGGACATGTGTGGCAGGGGACCTCCCCGTAGACCCCCAGGCCCGTTTCGGGCCGCTCCCCACGTGACGACATGTAACTGATGTTCTTTTGTTGTAAATTTAATTTTCCACAGCTGAGTGAGTCCTTGCTCGTTAGTGGGGGGGCGGACGGGCGGCCAGGGGGTGGGGAGGGGGTCAGAGATTGAATTGTTTGATTTTTGCCTGCCACGGCGACGGCGACGGCGCCTTGCGTGCCGACAAGCGGTTTTGGCCGAATTTTATGGCCAGCAATTAACAGTTTGGAGTGCGCTGCCCCCCGCACCCCCTCCCCCCCCAACACACACACACTCTGCCACATCAATCAGGTCTCAAACGATTGAAGGAGGGAGGTGGGGCAACGGAATGACGAAAAATAAATCAAGTTTCGCATAATTTATGAAAAAAAGGGAGAAAAAAAAACACACACACGAAGTGGAGTCTTCCTGCCTTCCTGTCTGCCATGACGTGGCAGGACCCTCGCTATTTATTCGCCCATATTCGTGGATCATTCAAATTATTTCGGGGGCCACAGCAGGATACGTGACGTCAGCTGGTGGGCCTGCCTGGGGGGGGAGGGGGGTGGGGCTCCTCAATCGCTTTTCATTTGGAGTCAGGGGGTGGGGGGTATCCTCAGATTTACGGGAGTTTAAACAAAGTTTTCTTTCTTTCGTTTTTCGTTTTCCGTTTCTCTTTTTGTGGGTGTCGGAATGATTATTGCGGTTAATGTTTGAACGGCTTGAACGACTCGATTGGGCGGCGAATGGGTGGTAATTGATTCGAATGGGAGTTTGAAATTGAGTTTGAAATGACACAGAATAAATGTTAAATCCCCCTTAAAATTATACATAAATTCCGCCTTTAAGGCCTTCAGCATAGAAAACCGAGAGAAAAGAAAGCCACAAGCCATGGAAACTGCGCATTTTTATACCCGATACTCAAAATGAGTATTGGGGTATATTAGATTTGTGGTAAAAGTGGATGTGTGTAACGTCCAGAAGGAATCGTTTCCGACCCCATAAAGTATATATATTCTTGATCAGCATCAATAGCCGAGTCGATTGAGCCATGTCTGTCTGTCCGTCTGTCCGTCTGTCCGTCTGTCCGTCCGTCCGTCTGTCCGTCTGTCCGTCTGTCCGTCTGTCCGTCTGTCCGTCCCCTTCAGCGCCTAATGCTCAAAGACTATAAGAGCTAGAGCAACGATGTTTTGGATCCAGACTTCTGTGATATGTCACTGCTCCAAAAATATTTCAAAACTTTGCCCCGCCCACTTCCGCCCCCACAAAGGGCGAAAATCTGTGGCATCCACAATTTTGACGATACGAGAAAACTAAAAACGCAGAATCGTAGAAGATGACTATATCTTCTAGAGTGCAAAATCTGAACCAGATCATATAATTATTACAGCCAGAATCACGAAAACAATTTCACTCTTTCTCGCTCTGTCTCACTCTAACACACAGGTTTCATGGTCGGTTTTGCCAATTGCAAAATATGAGTTCAAGGATCTCAGAACCTATAAAAGCCAGAGCAACCAAATTTGGTATCCACACTCCTGTGATATCGGACCTTGACCGTTTCATGTCCAAATTTCGCCACACCCCCTTCCGCCCCCGCAAAGGACGAAAATCTGAGGCAACCACAAATCTCAGAGACTATTAAGGCTAGAGTAACCAAATATGGTACACACACTCCTTTAAGATGTCACTATAAAACGTATATCTCAGAATTTCGCCCCACCCCCATCCGCCCCCCCAAAGGACGAAAATCTGTTGCATCCACAATATTGCAGATTTGAGAAAACTAAAAACGCAGAATCATAGATAATGACCATATCTATTAGATTGCTGAATCTGGATCAGATCAGATCATTTTTATAGCCAAAAGGAACAAATCAATTTGCAGTGGCTACGCAGCGCCCGACGTCACGCTCAGACTGATTTTCTGTCTCTCTCGCACGCACTCTTTGTCGTGTCGTTAAATATTAGCGGCGTCTGCCGGAGGAGAGCCATACTGACTTAGTATCGGGTATAACCGTAGAGTTGCGGTGTCCGCAGCAACTCACAACGTTCCCCCTCGTTTGATATATAAACTACAAATAAACAAAAACAACCTGCAGATGGAAAGGAGAAAAAAAGAGCTGCCCCGTTGGACATCCGTTGAAGTCCTGGGGTCCTGTTCTGGCCCAGAAGCAGCTTAATTTCCGCCACAGGAGTGGAAGGGGGGAGGGGTGGAAGGGGGGGGAGCGGAACGGAAGAGCCAGCAAATTGAAATGCAATCAAACAAATAAGAGACAGCCACACAAATGGTCGGCACTGAATTATTTATGGAAAAAGGAGGCGACTGTGGGAGGCGACTGTGGGAGGCGACTGTGGGAGGCGACTGTGGGAGGCGACTGTAGGAGGCCACGGGAGCTGCACGTGAGTGCGTCTTTATTTGCATATTTACCGCAGAGCAGCTCATACCTGACAGGCACTGCACACGACTCGGGCTTCCACTTACACATGTCGGACCGAGGCCGGGGTCGGGGATGAGGCCGGGCATGGAGCCCGGGACTGGCATGCAAATTTCTTCGTCCTGCCAGTTGTCAACTTAACTCTCTCTCCCTTATCCTCCTTGCAGCAATCAATCTGGCTAAATGGAATGCTCGAGTCTCTCGATTGAGCAACGGATTTGCATACGTCCGTTTGTTCTGTTTGTCGGACGAGCTGTGTGCTCTGTGCTCCGAGCTCCGAGCTGTGCCTGGGAGGAATGTCGGTGCAGTGCATCGCTCAAATAGCAGATCAACATAATTCAATGGTTAAACAGACAGCTGCTGGCAAATCGTTGTCTGTCCTTAATCCCCGGGCGTGGCTGTTGTTCGGGCGCCGAGAACTAGGCTCCTTCCAGGGGCTTCCAGGGCCCCGAAGCTGCCAGCAGCCCCCAAGCCGAGAAATGAGCCCAAGAAAAAGACTTTAATATCGAAATATTTAGTAGGAATATATTTCATATTTAAAGAGGAACAAATTGAAACGAAAATATTTCATTCAAATCAAATTTCTTTCTAATAAAAAACACAATAATAATAAAAACATAGCTGCACAAAAAAAATATTTAAATTAAAAATGTTTTGCACTTGAAGTAAATTTATTTTCTACTAATATAAAATATTATTTTTATACAATTTTATTCGATTTTTATTTTTATTTGTTTAAATTAAATTTGTTTTTTTTTTTAATTAATATATATATTTTTTTTTGTATTAAATAATTAATATTTAATGCTGAAAGTTATTCAAGAGTTGATTTATATTTTTGTTTGAAATGCAGTTGATTTTCTAATTGATTTTAAAATTTAACAATACAATTTTATTATTTTTATTTAATTTTTTTGTTTATAAAATATTATCACGTTGTTTGCATTTAAAAACGCAGCATTTAAATTCAATTGAGGGCGTGTGGGCCATTTTTCTGCGAGTGTAGCGCCTGGCGGATCCTCGAGCACTTCTCATCTTCATCTCTGAATGCGAAACTTCTCCCCAAAGAGTCTGGAATTCGTCTTGCCTTGCCCCTTGGATGCCCCTTGAATGCCCCTCTAAGAGTACGAAATTTGGCCTTGCGACGGCCCGCCGGTCGTTGCATATCGCATGCCGCATGCCGCATAAAGTGGGTAAAGTTTTTGCGCGCCTGCCACACGGAGACCAGAGATGTGGCAAAGGCGGAGTATTTGCATTACCTTCTTGTTGCCACTCGGTTTAATACGTATAACAATTGAGAGGAGGAGCCAGAACTGCTGTTGTTGTTGGCTTTCGCTCTTCATTTGCTCTGCAAATGTGAGAAGGGGGTGGGGCGGTGCGAGGGGTGGTGGGGGGTTGGAAATGGAGATGGAAACGCGCGGCTCCTGCAGCTTAGCGTTAATTCCCATGGAACTCAAGGGGATGTTCAGGATAGTAAGTAGAAAAACAAGCACACACACAGCACACACACACACACGCATAGCCAGGGGGAGCATCAAGTGGCATTTCGCATGACTAAGTTGAGAGCGAAATTAAAAAAGAAATTGCATGGAAGATCTCGCAACAAGAGGAGGCAGGGGGAGGCAGGGTGTCAGGGGGGGGGAGGTGGCAGGAATATGTAAATAAAGTGAAAATACAGAGTCAAGAGACGCACAGCAGAGCATCGCATCGCATCGCAGAGCAGAGCAGCTTAAAGTGCAGCAAATTAAATGTTGGCCCCGCCAAAAAGGGGGTGGGGAGGGGGGTCCCTGCAACGCCACGAAGTGGCCTTGGGGGGCCTGCTGGGGGGCGGGGGTGGCCTGGTAAGCCGGTAGGCCTCGACAGGTAGCAATCTCCATGGAAATTGCGCCACGTTCGCCCCCCATGTGCTTTCGGTTTTTGTTCCTTTTTCCGAAGCGTTTTCGGGACATTCTTGGGAAATTGCAATCGCCTTGGACGGCCAGCAGATTCGTTTAAAGCGGAATTGGCTGCCCCTTTAAGGCCGACTCGCAGATGGAGCTCGAGATGGATATCGTGGTAGAGGACCAGCAGTGGATTGTGCTTTTGGGACACGAAATTGAGCCTAGAAGGGGCTGCCCTTCCCCAGCACGTGCCGGGCCGCCCCTCGAGATGGCCTGTGGATCAAAGGAAGGCACATATTAGCTCCATTATGGCCAAGACAATCCAGCTAATAGAACGGGGATCCCCCTCCCCGTCCCTCCTCCCTTCTGTTGCTGTTTATATTTTCTGGTTTTTGTTTTGGATTAGGTTTTGCCTTCATTCCTAATGCGACACTCAATCGGATTTTGTCAAGCAATGCTCCGAGAGATGGTCATCCCCCCAGACCCCCCTTCCCCCACAACCCGAAACATAAGCAAATTGTGGACAAATGATAAAAAAAGAAAGCAGCACGGAGGACACTTTCTATTCCACAGGGACGGATACGTGTGTGTGTGTGTGGGCGGATAGGCAGGCGTATTGTTTGCCTTCCGCCGTATGAGTGGGGCATTTCGGATGACGTGGTCAAACATGAAAGGACATTCCATATGTAAAATGCGTGGGGGATGCCCGATGCCCGCTGCCCGCTGCCCGATGACCGGAAGTTGTTGCTGTCTCCCTCCTGGGGCTTGACTTCCGTTTAATATTTGCTGCCTGTTTGCCTTTTTTTTTGTTGTTGTGTATTTAAAGGGAACGCCAAATATCTTCAAGCGTTTTCGAATAATATTTTGGCTTAATTGAATTTCATTTCCTGTCGTTACGCATACGCCCTGTGTGGCTGCACCGCCATCGCCATTCACTGGAGTCTGGAGTCTGCCCTAATGAGCAGCCACTGTACTTCGTCGTTGCCTCTAATTGGACAATTAGCCAGCGGTGGGGCCAGGGGGGGGGGGGGGGGCGGGTGTGCAGCACAGTTTTGGTCTAATATTTCACAGACATATACAATATAAAGCCATGGCAACGGCATAAAGTGCTCCACGAGAGGAGTCCTTGAGGAAATATAAATACACAAAAAAGAAAGAAAATAATGCCCCGAAAAAAGCAGATGCCAAAAAAGAAGAGACAACGAGGGAGATGGGAGAAACAGCTAAAGAATATTCATGTGCCTCAGCAAAGCCCCCCGCCCAAAGGAAAGATGTCCTTTTCCGGCTGGCGGCATTCAAGTGATAAAAGCAGGACTACAACAAAGGAGGAGAACAGCAAACGTGCATTAAAAATATTGCAAGGGGCGGCGGACAGCGGCCGAAGGAGGACTTGCGGTCCCCCAAGGATACTCCAGGCTGACAATTAAGGCCCTAAGACAATGGAGGGGGAGGGGGGCGTGGGGTGTTGGGCAAATAAATAAAATTGATTGGAAATGGAATGTGAAATCGATGCCATTCTTGGGCTCCTCTTATCGTCCTTATCGTGACGCTTATCCGACGGCCGTTTCATTATTTTAATGCACCCTGGCGGGGCCCCCCTTCCCCCGACCATTGAAACCCATCCGGAGTATTGATTGACGGAGTATTGAACTGTCCGGCCGGAGTAGATTTTATTCAAAGTCTTCAACCTTCAGCCCGACTTCTCGCTGACATTCTGCAGGAGGAGAAAGTACTGTCCGCTGGTCCGAACCATCTGCAAATCATGGAGGGGGCACGTGTCAAAGGGGGGCGGGGGTGGACATTGGACATGTGTTACGGGCACGCACCGACATCAGGGTGGGCAGGGACATGGCCAGGAACCAGGACACGTCCAGCCTGAAGCTGCGGCCCGTGCGCGTCAGCATCATGCGAATGAGCTGCCGGAACTCGCGGCACTCCGCGTACCACTCGCACCCGTAGAACGCCCCGGCAATCTGTTCGCTCTGTACAAAACGAAAACGAAAGTGGGATAGGGGGGCACAGATTGGGGAGGGGGGGGGGGGCACCACTCACGGCTGTCGCAAATCGCTGGCCATTGTAGCAGTAGACGACTATCTGGTAGCCGGAGGCCGTGAGGTACATGGTCATCCGGATCATGGTGATGCCGCTGCTGGTGCCCTGCAACGAGAGAAGGGGAAACAGGTTACGGCTCCGCTGTGAGCGCCAAGGCCTGGCGGCGTACAAGGCCGACACTCATCTGGAACAGGGCCAGGCCCCAGCCGAAGAGGCTGAGCAGGAATTGGGAGAGCGTCAGGTGCCGGAAGCAGTCGTTGATCTCCTCTGCAAAGCTGTGGGCAAAAGGCATTAAGGCCGCCGGATAGATGTCCGTACTCACCTGGCCACCCGCTGGTACTGGTAGATGCAGCCGCGGAGGTACTCCACACGACGCTCGGGCGGCACCAGCGGCGACGTGGCGCCGGCAATCATCTCGCCGAGCGACTCCATCAGACCCACGCCGTGGAGGCACACGACAATGAAGACGCCATCGAAGCTGACGGCGCCTGCGTAACAGTAAATCAGACTCGAGGGGGGGCGGGATCGTGGGGGGGCTACTCACACATGCCGCAGATGTAGAGGGCGCAGGACTCGATGTACATTTGGATGTGGTAGTAGGGAAAGGCCAGGCCCTTGTCCGCCCAGCCGGGATAGAGGGCGGGCAGGGCTGCAAGGGGCGCGACGGGTGTGAAAGGAGCACCCAAATGGAGGCTTTCGCTACTCACGAAGGACGATATCGAAGCTGCCGGGCGGCTGGGTCAAGTAGCGGTACAGGTTGCGGGCAAAGGAGTTGATGAAATAGTTCGAGGTGAGGGCTATCACGCTGTACAGGTAGATCAGGAGCTGGCGTCGGGTGCTGCCCCAGTAGCGCTGCATGATGGCCGCCACCCGCCGGCGGAGCACCTGAGCCACGGGCAGATCTGCGGGAGAGTCAGACCGAATGAAAGGTCGATCGATGATCTGAGGGACCCTCACCCGCAATGGTGGCAAAGAGCTCGCAGCGTTGCAGCAGCTCGTGGCAGCGGGCCTGCCGCAGCAGCTCGTAGATCCGTCGGTGGGCGAACAGGAAGTACCACATCTTGAAGACCGACGTGAGGACCTGCAAGGCAGTGCTGACAGTCTCGACTATCCGCGGCATGTCCTCGACGTAGTGCCTGAACATCTGCCAGTGGCCGTACAGGGACAGCAGGCTGCTCACGCTGAGCACGACGGTCCAGCTGGAAGCAAAGAGAAGCTGCGGTTGGAGTCCGACCTGGACACATCGTAGGGCTACGTACATTCTCAGGGCAACGTCCCAGCGGCGGGGCCGCATCAGGTTGAAGCCCACCGTGTAGGAGAGGCGGATCATCTCCCTGATGCTGCGGTAGTTGCGCTTCTCCAGCGCGGCGGCCTCTTCCGGCGAGTACATGTCCACTAATTGACAGATAATTGTCCCTAATCGGGCATTTATAGCCCCGAATGGGCCTTAATTATGCATCGAGCAGGTGTTGGGGGCGCGGCGGGGCCACGCCCCATTACGTGAACCAAAAGTTGCACTAAATAATTGAAATACTTTGCTCCTGAAAGGGTAATGCCAGGGACTGGGGATGCTCCGACTAATTAGTATGCCACATAATGAGATCCACACCCCGTGGAGGCTCGAAGGCGCACGGCAATTGAACAAAAATTAAAGTTCATCGGACTTCGGGGAGGCACCCTTCCGGCCGCCCTTTTGGCCACCCTTCCGGGGCTTCACCCACCCGGAAGCGGGCTTGGTGGTGGGTTGTTTTCCAGGGAGAAGCTTTACACAGCTTTCGGGGCTTTTCCTCTGCGGGGTGGTTTCTTTGCTAAAACACGACGTTCCCCAACACTGGACAAAAGCTTTTCGAATGTAAAATTCCACTGCATGGCCTCACATTACATTACATTTGACGTCATTTTTGAAGGCCCATTTCGGTAGAGTTCTGCGATACGAGACTCAAAGACTTTTGTATTTCACTTTTTATACCCGATACTCAGAATGAGTATTGGGGTATATTAGATTTGAGGTAAAAGTGGATGTGTGTAACGTCCAGAAGGAATCGTTTCCGACCCCATAAAGTATATGTATTCTTGATCAGTCCAAGTACAGGTGCACACGAGGATTACTTACTTGCGGCATCTGATTGTGAGCCTGGCGCAGGCGCAGGACATTACCAAGGTGCTGCTGGTGTTCTCGCACGACTATTACGACGAGGACATCAACGATCTGGTGCAGCAGATAGACAGCAAGATAGCAAGGTGCTTCAGATCTTCTATCCCTACTCCACTCAGACCCATCCCCACGAGTATCCAGGCGTGGATCCCAACGACTGCCCCAGGAATATCAAGAAGGATCAGGCCATGATCAGAAACTGCAACAACGCTCTGTATCCGGATCTCTATGGGCACTATCGGTAGGCGAAGTTCGAGCAGACGAAGCACCACTGGATCTGGAAGGCGAACCGAGTGTTCAACGAGCTGGAGGTGACCCGCTTTCACACAGGTTTGGTCCTGTTCCTCGAGGAGGACCACTATGTGGCGAAGGACTTTCTCTATCTGCTGGCCATGGTGCAGAAGCGCACCAAAGACTTGTGCCCCCAGTGCAACGTGCTGTCCCTGGGCACCTATCTGAAGACATTCAACTATTACACCTACCACAGCAAGGTCGAGGTCATGCCGTGGGTGAGCAGCAAGCACAACATGGGCTTTGCCTTCAACCGCACCTCCTGGACGAACATAAGGAGGTGCGCCCGTCATTTCTGGCCCCCTGCCATGGACTCTGGGGGCAGCACAATGTTGCATCCCAGCAAGCCCCGTCCACTCCAGGCTTTTGGCACCAACAGCAGATCTAGAAGCTGGTCGCCGCGCATGACTTTGAGCTGCACGTTCTGGTTCTGCCTGTTTCTGGTAACCTCGCCGATCTGGCCCAAATCCCCCTTGAAGTTGTTGCTGTTAACGGAGCAATCCTGCCTCTTCAGCTGGGGAACTGGGGCACTGGGGCTGACTAGATTGACTACAACTATGGGGCGAATATCGGGAGGCGCACCACCCAAGTGGTAGCTCCACCCAACCCTCTGTCGCTGTCCAACTCCAAGGCGGAGGCGAGAGAAGAACGAAAATTTGTATACACATTTCTAGTTATCATTTTAATCAAGTCCCAAGATTTTTAGCGAAAAATCTTCTATCAACAAATTTTAAGTATACAAAATGGTAAACACGTATTGCAGAATTTTGCTTAACCGTCGCATAGAGCTGATGCGGGCCCGCATCAAGAAGGCTCAGAGTCGACACATCGTTCACCGTGACCAGAGCCAGCATCCTGCAGTAGCCACCTCCTTGACCGTGGAGCAGGAAATGCAAGAGCAGAAGATTTCCACCTACCAGAGGAACAAGTATCGTTCGATGTGGGAGCAGGAAGAGGTCAATCATATGCGCACTGGAGATTATAGTGTTGGCCAGAGCAACGCCAACGGAGATCGCAGCTACGATGGAACGTGGGTTAACTTCCCTAAGGGTCGTCGCTCGATTATCAATCGTCCAAGCACGGCCAAGCCCTGTAACGATCAAGCCAAGGCCTTCATTCGCCAGTGGGCAAACCAAAACGTAGGGGGTTCTTACCGGATCCAAGGTGTACA